GATTTTAAACCGAAGAGTCAATTAGCCTTGGGAAGGCAATAATTACTCTTGGAGTAAGTGGATTGCGATCCGCTAGCTCGTACTTGTTCTAAGTATAGAAGGAAAGGCCGGACCTAAATTGCGCTTCCTCAAGCGATAAGCTACGGTAGCCCCGCTGCATGATCACTCAGGGTGCAGATTGATACTGTCACAGCTGTGTTATCTGCGAGTTCAAAGGCGCTACTCGACGACGAGGAGATTGCTCTCTTCATCATCGCTGAGAGCCATTTCCGGTGGAGCGCTTCTCGAGATCTTACTGGTTGTATTTTAATCATCCCACACGGTGCTCTTCAATCCCCTTGCCCACCGATTCTTCAGATAGCGGTTGGTACTTAAAAGGTTTCGATGCAAGTCACATCTGTTCGAAAACAATCCATGAAAAGTGGTAAAGTCCTCACCAGACTGTTTATCGCCGTTGAGACAATAATAGCTTTAAACCCATGGACAACCTGTTTTCGTGCGCGAACTCTTATCATGGAGTTCGCAAGCTGTTCGCGCTGTTTTTGTATAGGTCTGGAGGCTTCTTTCGCGACATTCTAATGTTCCTCATCAACCAGATAAACAATTTTCCCTGTTTAATGGTATGGGCATTCAACATCAGTGACTTCGTTATAAAAGCTAGCTGCACTTTCGCCGACAATAGCTTAAGAATTTCTTGTAAGCCACACCAGCACATTTCGGCCCTTATGTTACCAACTGTTTATCGTCTCGTGATCGACAAAAGTCATAAGCGTACATAATGTGTCTAGTCGTCATGAGTACAGCTAACTAAACGCGAAAGAAAACATTGATTTATTAGCCGCCACACAGCTCATTTGTACTCGCCGACGTTGCACTTGCGGCAGTATCAAACATTTGCGCTCTTCATGTCTCTATCTTTCTCGACTGTGAGATATGAATGGTGAAGCTCCCATGCACCTCGTCCGATAAAATTCTTATCAGGGGAGAAATTAATCACAACAGGCTACCCTGCGCCTGCTGGGAGAGAAGTGGCTTCATCTGTGCCGCGTGAAGCTTAGAAATAATGCAACTTAGCCCCCGAAAGAGCAAATTGCAGATAGGAAGAACCGCAGAATGAAAGTTGGCATTGACGTGACGCAATATGTTGGAAAGATTGTTCGGCAATAAAGCAACGATTTTAAGAATCATCTTGGATCAGGTCTGCTTTTGAGGCTCAAGAGAACTCGACACAGGCGAGCTCGATACGCTTTATGAGCACATTTTGCAGAGACTCCCAATGAAAAGCCAATCTTGGCACAGTTTGTCAGAGGAAAAAATAGCGTTAAAAGCACACTTAAATTACATACTAAATGCAATGCGAATCGCCTTGTTGCCGCCATTTCATTCTTCGAGTGCCTAATACACCGATAGCGACTACATAAAACTATCTGATCTTGCTGTTGGTTATCCAAGCGTTCCACTTCTTGTTCAAGTACATCTGCATCTCGTCAGGTCTTGTTGCACCTACTTCCTCGTCGCTATTGTGTCTTCATTCCATTTGGAATCTCGCCCTCATACCCTCAAATTACGTACCGTTTTTTCGTGAAATTTCGTTTTCATTCGAAATAAACTATCAGACTGAAACATCCATACGTAACCTTTTGATGTATTATGTTTTGATTGTAGCACTATTATAAGTATGCGCCCAGAGCTTCTCCGTTTTCATTTTCATGTTTTCTCGAAGACCCACAAAATCTAGCAATATTTTCATGCTATGTCTTAGTCGATGCAGCAAAACCTTCAAACTTTAGTACGAGCGGACTCACTTCCTCCAGAATATCGCGATTTTGATTGCGCTAATAATTTTAGCATTATTACTACACAACGAAGTTTGCGAAAGCTTTTCACAAGCTTTAAACATCAATCGTGCCCAACATGATTAGCGCTGAATTCATGACTGGTATAGTACCCACTCAGATAATCAATTGCAATCGGTGTGTTTTCTCCCATTGTTTGTATCTGTCGCGAATTGGCACTAGTACTTTTCGTCTTCCTGTATGTATAGCCTAGAATTTGTTGAATATCTATCACGAAGTACATGTCAATGTGTTTATCTGGGATATCTGTATTTTTCTAAGACTTCTTAATACACCAAGAAGAGTTAAAATTGGCGCGCCTTCTTCTCTAAGTGAATCAACGCATATAGATTCTGGTAACCTTCATTTTATAACGTAAGCGAATCGTTTCATGATTGAAAGTCAATATTATTTTCATTGGACTCCACCCGACGTTAGCGCATATTTATCCGCCGTGTCAAATAGCTTCATTGTCTAATTTGGTTTGGTCGCTTATATTAAAAACCTAGCAATTTGTAGACTAGCATCATAGTTACCACACGAACCTTATCTTTATGGCGTCTATCGCTAATCGGTGCAAAGAACTCATCATATCACCTTTTCATCAAACTTCACTTCGGTACTTCTTGACTTTGCTCTGAGACAAAGGAATGATAGAAAATAGGTATGTATTGGCATCCGTCATAAGGAGACATGTATGCTGACACATCTGCCTCCCAAAATGTTGTCACAATCAATCTGCCATTTGCAAGGCAACCCACATCTACAAACAAGCATTAACTGCGCTGAAAATTGTTTTCACACTGCACATACTAGTGCAATCGGTTTCCGAGATTTGAAACCAATGGGAGTTCTCTCGTTTCCTCATCTTTCGCCGTCAAAGCGATGGTTCAATGAGCCACGAGCTTAGGCTCTCCGACCGACAACCAATGAAACAGGTTTCCGTGTGTAGACCAAAATCCTGCGGTCGGGCTATAAACGGTCAAGTTTTATTTCATCTCCAAGGATTTCTCCCTGATCAAGCGACTCTGTGCCCGTTCTTAGGGGCACGTCGAGGTCCAACTCGGAAATTAGAAAATATGCACTCTGGCTTTCTGTCTCATGTGATTGCCATTCACTGCCGTTTTAAGTTTAGCTCAACGCACTAAGCAGCGTCATTGCCGGGCTCATGAGACAACATCATGACTTTCACAGAAATCATCTAATTATCGTTTCTGCATCAAAATTGTGATACTTCTTGGAAGAGATGGGGGCGTGACGTTGACTGTCAGATACCGTATTAACAACAATTCATTTTGGAGCGAAATCGAGGAGGCCATATAATACTAGTCACCTAGATTACCCTGCTCTTTTTAAAAATATTACTTTGCTCAAAAAACAATACCAGATGTGTCATATCCAAAACCAAAATGTAAAAGGGCGCTATTCAAAATCCCTTAAACACACATCACACACGCTTGTTCGACGAGACAGTAATTTCCAGCGCCGAGGGAGGGACAGCCCCGACTTGGAGGGAAGAAGAACGACTCGAGGCCGAAAGACAAATTTGCAGCTGAATTAAAATGAGTAAATGATTCTTACAGTTACATACAAATCACCCAAGAGCTCCAAAACGTTTTGCTCATAAAAAAACTTGGGATTTTATGAAACCTTATTTATACAATGAAGTGAGTACTGAGGCTTGAAGTTATTCAAGATCTTGAGAGTAAGTAGCTTGAACTTTGAAACGGTTGACATTCAACTTTCATGGAAAGTATCCAGTGGAAGTGATCATCCACTTCAAAAGACAGAGAGACGCGTAGGTATCGTCACCAGCACAATTTCCGAAGTACGAACCAGCATTCTGTAATTCTGTACCACACAGAACGTTTGCTACTTTATATAAGATGTTACCCATGCATGCGGGAACACCATACTGTAATTCCCTTTTTTATAAATTCTCACAACGCATAGATTTACCTTCACGTAATACCTTAATGTAGCCAATTAAATGAAATATCTATATTTTCTGATGTGAGGCCGACAGCTCACGTGTACCGCGGACGATCCTAAAAGCTATATTTCACCCTCACAAGTTCCACCACA